AGGATGGGCACACCTGAATGGAATTAAAATCTTAAGGTTTTGTGAACTTGAGGCACCTGCACTTTTAGAAGCAGCTTGGGGTTAGGTGATGCTGTGATTGTTGGTCCCCTAGCCTCGCAGGGATGTAAGAGGGGATATCATAAAGCACAGATGTATTATCACACCTGACACTTAATATTACATTTGCCTGTAATACAGGAGACACAGAAGACTCTGGTTTAGTTCCTGGATTGGGAAGATCCCCTGGAGAAGGAAATGGCAACCCACTTAAGTATCCTTGCCTGAAAAACCCCATGGACAGAGGAGCCTGGCAGGCTACAGTCCAAAAGGTCACAAAGAGTCGGACATGACTGAATGAGCACAATACTATATAATTCTCAGTCCAAGTTCAGTCTTCCCCAATTGTCTTAAAACTGTTTTTCTATTGTTTGTTTGAATCAGGATGTCAAAAATGTCTGCACATTGCATTTGTTTTATTGTTGTTGTTGCTCATTTTATTTATTCATTTTGAAAAACTGAAGCATAGTTGTACAGTATAGGTTACAGGTGTACAATAAAATGATTCTCAATTTTTAAGGTTCTAGTTATTATAGAATATTGACTATATTCCCTATGTTGTACAATATCATGTGTTGCATTTATATCTCATTTTATCTGTAACAGTTTGGTTCATGAAAAAAGTCACCATTATAAGTCAACTATACTTCAGTTTTTAAAAGATCACTTATTTAAGAAATCAGGTCATTTCTCAGATAGGTTCGCTGCCCGCTTGGTGGGGATTTGGCTGACTACAATCTCATGGTGTCATTTTACATGTTCCCCCATCTCTAGTATTTCTTGTCAACTAGCAGTTCTATCTGGTCTTCCCTGGTGGCTCAAGTGGTAGAGAGTCCACTTGCAATGCAGGAGACCTGGGTTCCATCCCTGGGTCAGGAAGATCCCCTGGAGGAAGGCATGGCAACCCACTCCAGTGTTCTTGCCTGGAGAATCCCCATGGACCGAGCAGCCGGGAGGGCTACAGTCCATGGGGTCACAAGGAGTCGGACACAGGTGAGGACATCACAGCAGCAGTTCTGTCTAGAAGCTTGACTGGATGCAGGTAACATCTTTTTGGTGGCAACACTTCACAGGTGGTACCGTGCACTTGCCTTTACTGTTTATCAGGAGGCAGTTTCTTTTTTCTTTTAGTGATGTTAAGATTGATCTGCAAGTCTGTGTATTACCAGCTTGATCTAGTCTTATAAAAAGTTCCCCACAACCTTTCACCCAATGATATTAGCAAAAGCTGATATTTATCTAATTATTTCATTAGGGACTGCAAAGTGATGATTTTATAATTCTATCATTCCTTCTTCACTTATTAGCTTCTCTGAAGAACTTTCCCTTAGCAACTCTTTGGTGAATCTGAAAAACAGATTTTTCAGGAAAAGCAGAATAAATACATGATTCTTTCTTTTATCTATCTACTTTAAGATTAATTGATCTATTTTATCAATTAGGTTTTTGGGAAGAGGGAAATATTAAGAACTATGGATTTTTATATATTTGAGGTGTTTCAGTGCATAAAGTATTACTTGTAGGATACTGAATATTACTTTATCATTTGTGAGATACTTAATACACATTAGTCACTTAAACTTCACAAACAACCCCATGAAGGTAAGGTATTATTAATACTACCCAGTTTTACAAATGAAAAAATCTAGATCATATAGCTTGAAGTAGGATTTGGTGTCTGTTGTTCTTTCAATTAAATGTGATATTGGTTGAAAGAATGAGACCATTAAAGGTGACTGGATTCTTTTTCTTTTGAGATTAAATAGCAGACACCTTTAACCAGTGGGACTATGGTACTAACCATTGTACACTTTAGAAGGCATTACTTGTGGCAAACACTGTTGAGAATAATGTTATGCTGATAATACTGTAACTTAGTAAATAGCTTGTCTCAACTTTGTTTGTGAAGCATTTCAATTTTGATTACTCTGTGTGGGATCTGCTGCTCAGATGTATGTCATTTTATGGTCTGCTCATGTCTGGGGAGCTAGTATTATGTGCTGCCTAGTGTTTTTAATTCAGAACTTCTTCTGAAAGAAACCTTAGCCTCTTATGTTCAAGCCCTAGTTTTAATAGCATAAGCTATTTCCTTCTTATATCGCTTTGTGGGCATAGTAATAAAATAAATACCACAAAATCACTGATGAGATGAAAATTGAGCTCCCTGCTTCTGTGCAGCCATGTAGGTAAAACAGTAATTGGCTCTGATAATAACTTTTGTTCTTACAAACCGAAGTCTAAATGAGAGTCACATTTGATATATCTGCTTGTAATTACTATCAAAAGGAGAGAATACAAAGTTTAGATTGTTTAGTGACTCAAGATAGATTAAATAAATTGCTCTTTTCTTGAACAATTTAAGAAAATTTTCTTAAATTATTTCTGATATTTATCTTACTGTTGGCAAAAAATGATCATCTTCCAGAACATTGCTTTTATGCTTAATTGAATGATTAATTTTGTTTTTTAAAACCTATAATTGTTTTCCTTGAAAAATCTTTTTACCGGGCCTGATAATTTATGCTTATAAATATTTTCCTATACCTCTCTGTAGATAGTTTATAAGATAAATTTAGGTTATGAATGTATATGGCAGTGATTTTCAGTGAGACCATTTGACATTTTTGTATCATTTAAATGTAGACTTTTAATATTTTTTAAATGGGGAATTAAATCATATGTGCTACATATTATTTTGATACATCCATGCTTTGGTGTCAAAAGGGTAAATAATAGAATATTAATATTTAAAGAATCTTTCTATTGCTTTAGAAACTAATAAAGAATTGCTATTACAACCTGGCATTTCTGTTGAATTTCTGCTTACATTTCGATTTCTTTCCAGAAATATCTGTGTCCAGTGCCATAGAAATGTAAAAATGGAAGGGAACAACTAGATTTTAATGCCAGTTTTTTTTTAAATGCCAGTTTTAACAATGATTCTAAATTTGATCATTTTGTTTCTATACCAGTCCCATAGCCATGCAAAGTTGATGGAGCATAATAAAACTAAGAAAAGGGCCATGGTCCACTGAGCCGATGATCCCAGAATTAAAAAGTTCTAACAAAGCCTAGACATGATAGATGAAGCTATTACCATCAGTTGTATCCAGAATACACATTTAAAAAACACCCTAATTACAGAAACCACATCCAGTCAATATAATACATATTAGCAATTTCCCCATCCTTTCTAGGATGGAAATTATTCTGAAAGTTTAATTAAGAAGGAAAAAATTATGTTCAGGTATTAATTTCAATAAAAGAGGCACTCAGCTTTCATGCAAAAACCCCGGAGTAGTGCTGTACGTGTGGGTTACCCACAGAAGGAAAGCCACTTGTAATTAGGCACTACATTATTTTTGTCACCACATGGACTTTAAAGAGATAGAAAAGCTGTGCCTTCTTTGTAACCTGTGTTCCTGCATGAGTTAAAGCACACAATTGAGTGCAGCTACTTGGAGATTTTGTCTAAAAACTTTTTAAAAAAATAAAAGGAAGGTTTGGAGGCTGTATTAAGAAATAACTTATCTAGACAGCATGCATTCCAAAGGTGTTTTTGTAGTCTTCCCCTTCACTTTGACCTCAGGCACAGGCCATGTATGAATGCTTAGGATCAAAGAAATTACTGCAGCATGAGCTAATCTGTCTGGTTCCTATAACCGTTTTAACAATTGCATCAAATCACCCTCAGAACTAGCACTATATTGAAAGGAAATCAGTGTTTTTAATTGCTCACAACACCTCCTTTTTAAAAAAAGTCACAAAGGCCACACATTGTATGATTTCATTTATAGGAAATATCCAGAATGGGCACATCAAAGAGAAAGAAAGCTGATTAGCAGTTGCCAGGCTCTGGGAGGAGGAGGGGATGAGCAGTGATTGTTCATGAGTATGAGGTTTCTTATTGGGGTAATGAAAATGTTCTGGAATTAAGGTGGGGTGACGGTAGTACAACACTGTGAATATGCTTAAGTTCAACTTCCAAAAGACTTCAGAAACTCTTGGTACTACCACATTCCATAAGTGTCAGTTTACCTTTTAGTATCCATGCATAGTATGCTACCTTTTAAAAAAGGTAGAATGCCACCTTTTAGCATAGAATGCAAAATATGGGAGGGAGGTGTTGGGGGTTAGTAATTCTATGGGAGACTGTCACGTCTAAGGCCACATTTTGCAAATAAAGAAACTGACTTCCAAAGAAGGAAAGTGACGTACCCAAGGTCACATGCAGACATCCAGGGTAGAGCAAGACTGGACCTCCGGTCTCCAGTCACCTGTCCCGTGCCCCCCTCCAGCACCACTGTGCTGCCTCCTCTGGTAGTTTATCTCAGCAGCAAGTCACTTGAATTATTCTGAATGAGGAACACATGGTTCAAATGAGATGCATGGGTTTTATTTTTTTCTAATGAAAGCATACATTTTCCCTATAAAATAGCAAAATCTCTGTGAAGGAGGAGATACACTTGTTGTGGTAAATTTACCAAGTCCTAACTGAGACTTACCTGTAAATATCCCTTGAGAAAAGTGGCCACATTAACAGACCAAGGGAGCCCTCTGCCTGCACAGTTGTAGTATAGATTTCATTGGCAAAGTTCTTGACCTGGAAAGCTAAAACTAAATCAAGACCAGGTGTTCTACCCTTTGTCCACCTTGGTTGGCTTCTAGCAGTATTTTGGAGAAAATGAATGGTGTCCGAGGATGGATTTTTATGAGTAACAGGGATATGGAGAGGAAAATCTGCAGAAAACTCCTTTTCTGTGAATAAAAGAGAAATTAGTCACCTAAAAAAAAGACCTAAAGATATATATATATTTTTTTCCCAGTGAGAATTACATTAAAATAATTATTCTCAAAGAACTTTATACTCCTTTGAGGATATGAAATATTAGCAAGCAGTTTTGTTCATCCAGCATGAAACTTTCATTGTTTCTTTGTTTCAGCGAAAGACAGGGTTGAATATAAAAATCATGCAGGATCCTGAAAGCACCCACCACAGAGCTGCTGTCAGTGCGACCTATGGAATCAGTCTGCCATACATTAACCAGAGAAAAGCAAGTGTAAGTAATGAGCGGTTTTAATGAGCTCTTATTTTTTAGAATTAAAATTCATTCATTGGTGCTATAAGACATAAGGTAGATTTTAAGAATTGGATCCTTTTGTCCTTAGAATTTTTTGGAGATGAAATGGAGTGGCACTCATTCTGTTTGTGATTAGAAATGATAAAGAAAGTGTAAACTTCTTTTTAAAAGATCTATGTATAGATCATTCAAATTTTTCTATTTCATCTGATATCCCTAAATACACTAGTGCCATAATTTTAACTAGTACCAAAATATAACAAGAGGAAGTAATTTAACAACAAAAAGAATACAGAGCTGTTAAATATTTTCTTTTGTGTACAGGCTTCTCCTAGAAAAAGAAAAAAAAAAACCAGCAAGGCATGAGCTTCAATGGTGTATGCTCATATAATAGGCAAAATTTTGAGAATATTATTCTAAATCTGAAGAAAGTAGGGGTTGCTCCTTTATGTCAGCAAAATGATGAGAAGGAAAAATAGAACAAGGAGACTGTCATTAAAGGAATCTCAGAGTCTGTGCCTATTTTTGCCATTGACTTGCTGCTGAGTGTCCCAAAGCAAGGATTGTACTCTTTCTGTGTTTCAGGGTTTTCTTAGAAGAATCAAGAGTAATGCTCAATTTTAATTGGGAAAATTATTTTATTTGAGATCATTTCTAATATTGAAAATCATTACCCAAGTGATATCTATAATTTTTAAATACATTTTTTTTTAACTTTGGCTTCTATCCAAAGCTCTTAAATGTATCCTTCAATGAAATCAAAACTAAAAGCAAGATTAATTTTAGAATTAAATTGCAAAGCCATTTCTAACCAGCATAATAGTCTTTTAATCTTTCAAATTTCCTACGTAGACATTTTCAACTGCCTACTTCATTCATGTAACCCTGAAATATATTTTTAGTTTCTTTATATGTGCTTTATGTTATTCTAACAGGGTTGGTATAAAAGCATTTTATCATAGAAATCCTTTTATAGCCTAAGAAATAACTAGAAAGTTAGATATTTTTATTCCTGCTGAAACTTTATTTAAAATGTCACTGTGAATAATGTGAAAGAGTTTTTATCTGCTTCCCGTGAGCCCAAAGCCCTTGAAATAAAAATATTATTTCTCTGGCTGTACAGACAGAAGCAGATTTCTCTTTTGTTGTTGTTGGTTTTCCCCATCAGTCTAGAATTAATATTGGCTTAGCTGGTGGAGCGCTGAGGCTTTGTAGCCCAAGGCAATTGCAGCATTTCAGGCAAACTTTTTCTGATGAATATTGAAGTTTAAAAAGGCATACCTCTAGATTTAGAGGGGATTAAGCTTTGCTTTAATGAATGTGAACAAAAATTCTGACATAAATAGGGAATTCAAAACTATATCCAAAATTTCCCAAGTAGGAAATGTGCCTTGGATATTGTACCCTTGTCCTTAAAACACAGAGGACTTGGGAAAGCACTTGGCCTTGTAAGACATATAGGTAATATATATACTCATTGATTGTATTTAAGATCCTTTTTTCCCCCTGTAAAACTTGACTCCATTAAAATCTACACCAGATCACTTTAAAATATAGGTACATTATGTCCGTCTTCCTCAAACTATTGGCATTTCAATCAAAATAGTTGACCCTATTATTTTATGTTGATATATGTATAGACTATGGTACTAACTGAAAAACATATTTTCATTTTAGATTTGTAAAACAAGCATTGTGCCAAAAGTCCTATGAAAGAAATATTCTAGTGTTTGGCTTTAAACAATCATGTGGAATACTTGGGAATAAATACAGTTGTGATTTACCACTTATGAAAATGTTTTTGAAAGCACTTACCCAAACTGAAGCAATGTGTCTAGCATTATGATGTATAGTTAATTAGAAAAACAGCATCAGAGCTAATTGCTTTTTATAACCACTCTAAACACTCAAAGGGGATTATTATTTGGCTGCTGAGGGCCATGTGTTTCCTTACTTCTTATGAAACTTGAACAGCTTGTCAAAAGCCTGTAAGTAATCTTAGATACTTTTGACAGAGCAAATTTGAATTTGTCGCTAATTTACATTACCAGTTCCCAGAAACCGGTGTTTTCTCCATTTTATGAAGAGGTATATGCTTTGTGATAATCATAGGCTGATGAAAAGCTTTTAGTGCATTGAAAACACATATACTCTACACACATATATACCCGCCCCCACAAAACTGCCTTCAGATTTATATATCCTGTAACTCTCTTGTGTAAAAGCAATTCACAAAAAAAGCATTAAAAGTGAAAGTCACTGATTTTTTTCAATATATTAAATTTACCAAATTAAAAACAAAAACCCTCTAACACATTCGTGAATAGAGCCTTACAGGTTTGAATAGACAAGAAGAAATCTCTGATCCTGTTCATATTTACTCATTGACATTTAGTTCTAGTTAGACTTTATAATGCAACACATTAAAAGATCTACAGAAAATTTGACTTTGATTTATATTTTTTTAAATAAGGGTTTCTTAAAAGGCTTGAAACATGTATCTGTTACCATGAATTTTAAAAGAACGATTATGAATGCATAACAAAATAGCCAAACAAAAACATTGCTTTGAATTGCTGCACAAATAACTCTGATTATAACTGTTATGACCTACAAAAGAATCATAAAAACATTTTTCTTTTTGGCAACGTATGAGTTGCTGTAGAATTATACCAGTTCTTTGGTCCCACTTTCCAAATAAATAAATATATAATGCAATGTAAACTTAGAATCTTTTATTTATTCATGAGGTTGAATTTAATACTATTATGATTTCTAGATTTTATGAGTCATATGTTATGCAGTGTTTTTCACTAACTTAGTTGGGTAGCAACCACACTTCACAAATCATAGTTTCATTCTTTACTGTTTCACTTGGGGTGTGCATAGTAATCCCTCACTGAAAGTGCATTCATTTCTGAAGTGATAAAGTAATGGAAAGTGAGACAATTGTGTTAATGTCAAATGATTAGAAGAAGCACCAGAAGTAAGGTGGGGGTAAGTAGGAGGGGTGGGGGCAGAAAGAAGGACTATTTCACAACATGATTGTGTTTTAAGCCCATGCATATGGCCACAATTACAGTCTCAACATAATTTGGCAACGGTAGCAGAATTAGATTTAAACAAATTGATGTTACACTGCAGTAATTCAGAATGAGCTTGTTGCATTTATAAACCATAACAAGAAGCAGAGTGAATTAATAAACCCTTCTTGTCACTAAAAATAAAAAAGGGAATAATTGCTGAGATGGAGTTAACTTAACAGATGACTATAGTCAGCATCCTTTCAGCCTAGATATGGGAAAGTGAAGGTCACCCCCATCTCAGATGACAAAGAGGGAACATTTTGTTGGTAAACAAATTAATCTTTTGAAAGGTCGCCATTTGTTTTAAGTTTTTATCCAGTTCTTGTCATCTGGAATCAGAGATTGACTGTCATTTCGCTAGCAGGGGTGCAGTGGAAGCAGACAATGCTGCTTCTGTACATATCAGCATTCCTTGACAAAACCCGGTGCCTGATTGTGATGCTATGGGCTGCTGGTTTGCAGCTGTCTCCGGACAAGAATGGAGGCCCACCCCTGAATTCCAATAAGATGGGCCTGCATATTCCGCCTGCTGTAAGCTGGCCCTCTGCCCACAAGTAAAATGTATTGTAGTTCAAGCCAGCAATTATCTCTTTTACTTCCTTCTGTGCTGCTTCTGTTCCTTTTTTTCCAAAAACAGATGTGGGTATTCACTCAAGTTCTGCATCTCTATTCTTTCCCACACCTGCCAGGGCAGAATTTTGACAGAGGTAGGGTTTGAGGGAGCCAGCAGACAACAAGCAGACGGGATTTCTGTGAGAACAGTTTCAGAAGAAAATGTTGAATTTTCAGGAAATGTAGAGTCAGCATCTTGTCCCCCTCCCTTTTCCCAGGAGCATTTGGTAAATTAAACTAGTTGAACAAAAGGAAATAGCTTTAAAGACATTTAGAAATGCCACATCCTATTTATGACACACAGGCATTACCCAAGAACTGCGATGCCATGTTCAACACCCCCCATTTCTGTCACTAAAGAGAGGTTCCTCTTCAGGTTGTCTTGAAAGAGTTTCCAAGAAAACAGTGACTTTTCATGTTCTTCTTGACTTGTAGCCTACTCCACCAACATGGTGGTGATAGAGTGGTGTATTGCCTTTGGAGGTTGAGGTGATTGAGAACGTTAGTTCTGCTTTGCTTTGGAGTGCTGACAAACCTGAAGAAACTGATGTGGCAAATGCCACTGGCTCATGTCTGGTTCTCTCACAAAAGCCCATCTGGAAATGGGGAGAGGTCATTGGAGGCCATACCCTCATCAGGCGATGAACATTCTCTGAGTTCTTGTCTACACTGTTATTTCTTGAATTTCTGGGCTGAGATCCTGCATGCGTTCCCAGACCAACCCCACACCAAACTCCCACCACTTTTTAGCTGGGAGCATCACGTTTCTGGGTTAGACTGCCTGCTGTGGACTCTTACTGTTAATAGAAGGAGATCGTCACAGAAATGGCCTCCATTTCCTTAAGGTAAAGTGTCCATGCTAAGAGAATCTCATAGGACTACACTGAGGTTTTTGGTTTTGTTTTTGGTTTTTTTTGGCTGTGTTGGGCCTTGGTTATGACGTACAAGGTCTTTCCTTGTGGCGTTCGGACTCCAGGGAGCACAGGCTCTCTAGTTGCCGCACACAGGCTCAGCTGCCCCACAGCAAGTGGGATCTTGGTTTCCTGACCAGGGATCAAACCTGTGTCCCCTGCATTAGAAGGCAGATTCTTAACTACTGGACTACTGAGGAAGTCCCAGGATTGTATTAAGATTTAAATGAAATAATTCAAAGCACTTAGTGAAGGTCCTGGTACAAATAAGTGCTCTGAAAGTTTTAGTTATGACTGTTGGCAATCTTTACATATTGTCTTATGCCATATTTTATACAGTCATTTAAAGCTGACATTCCTGTAGGGGGGACAAGGGGGTGAACCAAAGTATTACTGAGGTTCCTTCCAGAGATTCTATTTAACATTTCACGTGATGATGCCTGCTTTCCCATACTGCTATAGGGACGGTTGTCTGGTCCCTTTGTCTGTTTTTCACATCCTCCACTGCGCCAAGCAGTGTTTCGCACATAATAAGAGAGGATTAATTGGTCTCATCCATCCAGTCCCCACACTGAACCTGTGTTCCTTCTTGCCAAATCTGGAAGTGAAGTAATGGTTTTGCTGACTCTTAGTAGGCACAGGGCATCCTCCGACTTAGCCATCTGATGAAGTTTATCTGGTGAAACCCTCTTATTCCTGGATTCTTGTAACAGCCTGGCCACTGACTAACTGTTTCTAGGAGCCAGTCACTCTAGTTCAGTTATTCTTATTTTCCTAGTTTATAAATTGGGGACGCTAGATGGGAGGCAGTCTAGGGTGGGAAGAAGGACTTGGAGCTGAATGGATCAGAGTTGGGTCCTATTTGCCATTTTCCAGTTGTGTAACCCTAGTAAGCAAATTAACATCTCTGATCCTCTGTTTCCTTCTTAGGAAAATCAGAATAATGGTGTCTACTAGGCACGGGTGTTATGGGGATAATATAGATAATTATAATTATAGATAATATATTAACATTGCTGGAACATAATAGGTGCTTAATAAGGTTCCTGTCTTTCTGGAAAATTAATGAATATTAAAAATCTCATACTTCTCCCTTTTTCACACCCTTGTGTCCAAAAAAGGATCTGATTTGGTTCTTTTCACGTTCCATTATAAATGAGTAATAGGGTTTAATGCCCTGATTTTCAAACTGTTACAGAGAACTCCAGTGAGCTTCAGGGAGCCTGCAAGCATTTAATTCATATTTCATTTTTCTGATAAATATTTAAGCTGTTTTGAAGCATAATAAAGAACAAAACATACATATGTACATTAAACACCAAATTTTAATGCATTAGATACCATCAATGGGTTAGTTTGTGCTATTTGGTTAATTCCATGAGCACATGGGCATAGATGCACGCATGTCGATGTATGTGCATGCACACATTTGAATTTCTTTTAAGGGTGTTTTTTAAATTAGATATGGTTTATCTGTGTACCAGTCATATTTTGAAATGTAGATCCACTCATGTACACTCCTGTAATGATCATATGAGGTAAATAAGTGAAGATTAAATGAGCTAATACTTGTCAAGTTCTTAAAGCAGCTCCTAGCCCCAGGTAAGCACTCCATTAACATTAACTGGCATTAGTATTATATACAACACTTGTGTGCTCCCATCCATTAAAAGCCAGGCAAGCTCTCTGGTGCACATGTTTGGGACAGAATAATAGTGAACTGTACAATTACAATAATGCATATTGTATCATGATAGTATAGTATCATAAATTGTTTCATTGCTCATTTTAAGTTTGAGTTGGGCCTTGCGTGATTCAAAGTGTGCTATACAATCTGAATTGGACATTGCAGGATTGCAGTGTTAATTTTGTTTACATCTGCAGATAAAAAGTCAGTAATAAAACATCATCTTGAAATTTTGGACTCAGGTGCAAAACAAGATTAGATTGTTTTGAAACTGTATGAATATCTGAAAAAGAAGGGTGCTGAGATATCTGAAAATAAATTTAAATTGCACATGATGAACATCTTAAAATGGTCCATGGCACATTTGAAAAGTACTTTTGGTCATTCAATTCTTCAATAATAACAGCCCTCATGATGTATGCCAGACACTGTGTTAAGTGCTTTATGTACACTGTCTTACTTAACTTTTACACCTATAAAATAGATGCTCTTTTTGTAATCATTTACACATGAGGAAGCTGAGATTAAGATTAAGCTACTTGCCTAAGGTTATGAAGTTAAGGAATTGAGGATTCAAATTATTTATTAATCTACTTGTCAAATATCCCCAAATTAAGTACTTACCAACTAATTTTTAATTACTAAGGAATATGAACCGTTGTTAAATATCATTAGTGGTTCAACTTTGAAACAAAAAATTCCTACCAGTCTTTAAAGTTCTGGATCATTTTAATTGAAGAAAATCCTGAGATAATAAATGCCATAACAAATCATTAGCTAGAAATTACTTCTCTATTTATGTCAGGATTTTCTCCATCTTGTGCAGGCAAAATAAAATACAGAAATAAGGTGTATGCTCTGATAAATGTAAGGCTGCACTATTATCCATAAACCTTGATGTCATAATTTGTCTTTATCAAAATAGCCTGTTTCCAATGTTGTAAACACATATATATTCTTATTTACATACAATACAACATATAACATCATACCAAATTTGTATAAAACCTGCATCTATTTACCTATCAGCATTCTATTTAAAGTTACATCTGAAAAATAGATTCTACTACTGAATATAAATTTGAAAATCTTTGGCATAGAGAATTACCTCTCCCAGGGGTTTTTGCTTTTCAACAAGAGTAAATCCTCCATTTAATTAAACCCAAGGAGTTAGACTCTATTAAGGGATTTCAAGCATGAGTGGACAAGAAGAGGGATTTGGGGGGTGCAGGAAGAGAGCCTTTGCATTGCTCTGGCTTCATCCCAGGTCAGCAGCCACCTGCTAACTAGCTAGCCCTATTCCCTGATGTGATCCAGTGTCTTGGCACTTTGTGACTTGGGCTTTGGACTTGAGTTTCCGTATTTGTTTGACTCTGTACTAAGAGGTTGTATTTCTAACCTCATAGTTTGAAAAGCTAAAAATTTGAA